CAGAATGCCTCAAATGTTATGTTCGGGCGTCTAGAACACAAAAATTTCACGGGGCATTCCCCGGACCCCCTACGACAGTGTTGTCTCAATTGGCCCAACTTTCGGGCCCCCTTCCGGGCCCCCCTTTTGGACATTTCTGGATCCGCCACTGGGGGGGGGGGGGGGCAAGGCCCGTTGCCGCAGGGAATTAAAGCCCCCCCACCCATCTGACAGAGCTCGTCGGGCATTCGGACTAAACTTTATTAGAAGACATCCTTAACAGACTGCGCCATCGGTGGGATGTGCTCTGTTAGTAATGGCGTAATGTACCTGTTTTGTTTGTAGGTGTAAGGGGAACCTAGTTTATGTGTACAAAATTTTTTGTACGTCCGTTCAAAACTGGCAACGCTGGACACTTTTAAAATTCTGGTAACAAGAACATGAACAGCAGTGAGGCTCTGGGGTCAGCGCCTTGCGTGGACTCGACAACTGCAGTTTTAATCTATACATTACTATCTAGACATACGTGGAACATCGTCGACTACATCGATCCAATGTACATTATATACATATTTACATTCTTATATACTTCCTGCACTGAGCTCGTTTTTCGATGTATTAACAATTCTTATACGTATTCTATATTTATGTATATGTATATATAGTTAAATGTATTATATATATATATATATATATATATATATATATATAGGCCTATATATATATTTATATAAATATATATATATATACATTCAAAAAGATAAATAATGTTTTATATTGTGTTTACGGTAATACGCAGCAAACTAATTTTTTTAATATAATACACACATATACGTGTGTGTGTGTATGTGTTTATATGCAAGGAGTAAATATTGTAAAAGGCACAACAACAAATACCTACATAAAAACAATCTCAATTTGCATATCCACCTGCCATAGCATTCATATGCATCTACAAACCTTTCCTGACGATCACATTAGCATGAACCAGTCTGTAGAGTGACTACAAAGTTCAAAAAGTTTATATATTAACTACAATAATAGGAATTGCATAGATGAAATCAAAACTAGCTCAAATATGCATAGAAAATCAAAAGGAAAGTAGGTGCGCAAGATCACTATAATACACTTGTGCCAATACCTGATGTTCAACAAAAACTTCACAGAAAAAAGCCTTTATTTTACAAAGTGTGGGCGAATTTCCAGGTTCAATATATTCTGTGACGCCGGCCTTATTTCACAGTCGGGAACACAGGCATATTTTAATTACACGATGGGTACCAGGGGTGGATCCAATATTTAAAATAGGGGGGTTCAAAATGTTTTCCAAAAAAACCTAAAATGAAATTTGGGTACTGGGGTCCTCTGCGGGAAAATGTTGATTCCTAGATGGCCGGAAATGAGCTTTCCCGACTTCTGTGGAGTCTTTTAATGACCTTTAATTTCTTCAAAATTAATGGTTTTCCCCCTCTTGAGAAAATGTCAGGTAATTTTATCTCATTCTTTATTTCTATCATAGAGGAAAAAAAATTAAAGACAGGCAATATATTATTATAAATTCCAACAAAATTGAGTAGTTGGTATGTAGTCTTTCTTCCATGGATCGATGAACAGATAGGCCTGAAGAATGCACTTTCGTACATAAATTATTACGACGGTTAACCAAGAACATGTATAATTTATTTAATTGAAAACTAGATTGGCTAAGCCTAGTAATTGTCTGATCTTCCAATCTATGCCCAGGTAGGTTAGCATGCCTTTTGTAAGGCAGGACCCAGTTGTATTTCGTTACGTTTCTTCACAGAGGGGGGTTCGTCCAAACCCCTTGAATACACCTGGATCCACCACTGGGTATATCTAAAATGCAAGATAATGTACAAGCTATAATATTTAGAATTTTGCATTATGTTTTATGCTTGTATAATATTTATTAATATAAAATACATTTATATAATTCTTGTTCTTAACACAATTACATTAATGATTAACATAAATTTCATTATTTGTCCTTGAAATTTAAGAAGTGGTAATAATAATAATAATAATAATAGTAAAACAATATTGTTTTTATTGGCTGTAGACAATTATTATTCTAGAATTCTACATTTAATGTTTGTAAAAACATTTAAATATCAATGTTGCATTCATTCCTTCTAATTCAGTTTATTTTTATGAAAGTATGAATTTTATTTCAGTAAAAATTTCGTAAAAGTTCAACCATTGGAAAATGCACTTCTGAAGATCTCTGCAAACCAGTGGACCAGTGGCTATAATGTTGCTTTCTCGTTATGTGCTCGTTACTTTTGCTGAATGGTGAGTCATTATGAATTTCATGTCCATTGTAAAATGCTTTGTGGGATAACGTTTGACCTGGTTCAGCAACTAAGAATAAACACTTTAATTTCAATATTACAACACAAAAACTGTCATATTCCCTAATTAGATTATTTTAAAATAAATTAAAATAAATTTTTAAAGTTTTCATAAAATAAGGTTTTAATTGAAAATTATAATTGAAAATTAATATAATTAACATTCTAATACAATTGCAGAGATCAAAATAATAAAATTATTTCATTTTTGTCATTACAGTAATAAGACAAAACAATGAACAAAACTATAGTGATTTTCTAATTAGTATTAATTTCCTACATGGTGTTAAATTTAATTGCAATCTATTGTTGTGTTGTTGTTCAGGCATCCATTTTTAGACCAGAGTATCTGCTCTAAAATTGGTTTGTGGAGAGTCCTTTTTATTCACTATTTTACAACATAGCAAATCTGAAAATTGGGCTATAATGCAGTGGCGATATAAACCGGAATATCTGAGTGAAAATGTAAACAAGTACAACAATAACAACATAATAGAGCTAAAGATTTGTTGTGTATCTATACATACCTCATGGTATGTATAGATGAAAGAAATACGGAGGCTTGGATGGAACAAAACGTGTCATCAAGCTATCTTGCTTACGCTTTTTATCAGGATCTGTACAAAAACATCCATAAAACAGTACAAAATCGTCTTAAAATATAAAAACTACTTATTAAAATAACTTACATTAAATATACCTACGATTAAAATACATCAAAATTAGTCTACCATACATAGTGATTTCCGTTATTTAGTTGGTAATAAAATATATCCTATATGTATACACAAAATTGGTTATTTAATACAAATTTATAAAGGCAGTTTGTGAAACTTACTGAAATGAAACGTGCATATCTTGATTTGACTTAGGGAGAATGAAGAAACTGGGGACGCTGGACGCTTTTAAAATTTGAAAACCCTGCTTTGTTTTATAGGAGGGAAACCCTGGGGTCCAACTTAAGAAAAGAGCAAAAACGAAATCACCTCTAGCTATGTGTACAAAATTTCATGGACGTCCTGTCAAAACTGGCGAGGCTGTAGACGCTTTTAAAGTTTGAAATTCCTGTTTCGTTTTGTAGGTGTAGGGGAATCCTAGGGTCCAACTTAAAATAAGGGCAATGAACGTTTGTTGGAAATCACCTCTAATTGATGTGTACAAAATTTCATGCACGTCCTGTCAAAACTGGCGAGGCTGTAGACGCTTTTAAAGCTTGAAATTCCTGTTTCGTTTTGTAGGTGTAGGGGAACCCTAGGGTCCAACTTAAAAAAAGGGCAATGAATGTTTGTTGGAAATCACCTCTAGTTGATGTGTACAACATTTGCTGCACGCCCGTTCAAAACTGGCGATGCTGGATGCTTTTAAAGTGTGGAACCTGCCTGTTTTGTTTTTAAGGTGTAGGGGAAACCCTGGGGACAAACTTAAAAGGGCAATGAACGTTTGTTTGAAATCACCTCAGTCGATTTTATGTTTACAAAATTTCATGCATGTCCATTCAAGAACAAGAACAGCAGTGAGGCTCTGGGTCAGCACTTTGCACGTACCAACACCAATCTTACTTTGCATATCCTGCCATAGCATTCATATGCACCTACAAACCTTGTCCTGACGATCACATAGGGAAAAAAATATATTTGTGTTGCCCTTAAATGGAAAAAAATTGAGATACTGTATTTGGTTGCTCGGTTCGATTTTTTTTTTTTTTTAGTAATACCTGAAATAGGATATAGGCCTCAAACTGCAATCCCTATTATGAAGATCCTATGGTCCTAGGCCTAAGACCTCGTAGGCAACACAACAGAATGATGGGAAGCTTACCAAACAAACAATATTCAAATTAATGATGGAATAAATACTAACCAGTATATTGAAATAAATTTAACCGAAATAAATCTATTTAAAGAAATATTTATTTTAAAAAAATAATTTGTGCATCCGATCCACACGATCACACACGGACAGATCAAGCAAAATACCATACTATGGCTTTAAAAAATGGCTAACAAGTGCCGGCTCTATATATAATACAATCTTTTGGGAGGAAAGTATGTAATGTCTATGGAGATTTTTGTATGATCGGAAAGAAATGCAAGAAAAGAAAGAGTAAAGAAGGAGGAGAGGGAGCGGAAAGAGAGTGTTTATTATGATTCAGTTCCCGACTGAGTTACATTTTCTCACAATTCACATTTGCGAATCCGGGTGGGAGGCTGGGTCAGGGGTCCTGATAAAAATAAATAAATAAATAAAATAAAAAAAAGAATTCTAGACATACATACCTTTTCAGGACCCGTGAGCTGAATTTTTTTTTTGTTGCAATAAGAAAATTAGAAGTCGTGAAAGCTTCTTTTCCACCTCCTAGGAATTAAAATTTTCTCGGGAGAGGACCCTTTTATTTTGGGGGTTCATCGATTCATGAAAAAAAGAATACGTAGGCCTATACAATGTATATACTGGTTCACACATAATAGGCATATTTACTGAATAAGAATGAGAAAAAATTGACTGTCTTAAGGGGGAAATCCTTGAATTTTGAAGAGCTTAAAAGTCATCAAAAGACACTTCAGAAGTGAGGAAAGCTCATTTTCCTCCATTTAGAAATCAACATCCGGGGAGAACCTGATCCCGCCTTTCACTTTGGGGTTCAGTGATTCATGGAATCATGTAAACCTTGAATTAAGAAGAACTTAAAAGTAATTAAAAGACACCTCAGAAGTCGGGAAAGCTCATTTCCCGCCCTCTAGAAGTAAAAAAGGACCCCCCACCCCCTTCATTTTTGAGGTTTTTAGGAAACATTTTGAAAAAAAAAAGGCAATGCCTAGGTCTCCAGCTCAGCGCGAATCATCATCATTATCATAAATTATATTTACCCAGTATTATGAAACTTCTATCTGATAGCATGGAGGTATAATACCTCTGTGCTATCAGAAGACTTCTTGACAAACAATCCATCTAATCATAACCATCCATTATGAATGCACAATAAATGTCTATTTTACAGTTTTTTCTTACTTGTCCAATACAATATCATTATAAATGATGTTTTCCCAATATCATGAAACTTCAATCTGATATATGGAGGTATCAGAATGCTGTACGAGACGGTTGAAGAGAATTAAATTGGGATGTGTTATAGTCAAGTTTTACTCAACTGATGTTGGTGTTGAATATATATACAAACCCTATGAAATAATGTTATTTAAGGGAGAATTTAAATTAATATTACACATTTACTTTTGCCATTTTTTTTATTAATGCAAGTCTTAATATTTGTTGGTTATCTAATATCATTTTTGTGTTACAGGCTGTTTGCTAGTTGACTCATTTGCATAAGTCACCAGACCATGGTCTCATCACAATGATGTATTATGATAATGAATATTCATTGTCAAACACTTGAAACTACAAAAATCAGGAAACTGCTGAAATGACACCACGAAGAGCAACTTCTAGATAGGGTGTGCATGTGCGTTTCACCACAGCGAATCAAGAATGTTGTAACCTTCTACCGCTTGGATTATAGGCCAGTGAACATTTTAAAGTAAGTCTACAATCAAACAAACACATAATTACTTAGTATATCACTTACCTTCTTAACAAACAATCCATCTAATCATAATCATGCACAATAAATATTTCAGTGTAGACCAGGTAGTGTTAATGTCCATATTTGCTACTATGTACAAGGTTCACCTTGATTTTACAGTTTTTAGCGCACTCCCTGAGGGAGAGCTCTTGTACTATGATTTTGAGTGAATTTTGAAGTCATTTCTTTTTCTATCATTGCCTTCACTTGTGACACGATTTCTATCAGGGCCTTCATTTGTGACGCGATTAGGCTGATTTTGTAATAATATAGAAGAGAAGGCTTGGGAAATTTAAAGTATGGAAAGAGTTTTTCGAAAATATTGTCGGGAAATCCGTGAAATTGTATGTTTTTATATCATATCTCTTGCCATTGGGATGGGTTTCTTAAAACTGATGGTGGCATGCGACTACTGTACATCGGAAATAACTATAAAAAGACGGATTTGTTCATCAATTCGTAAAATCACTGAATATTGCGATAATCTCATCTATGCACGGTACTAGGCCTAATGAACGACGTCCCAGTACGCAAACGACTATTTTTTTTAGCATTAACCAGGGACCTCCCTGAGTTTACTTCTGTCAGTTCTTGCACACACATGTGGCGTACAAAGAAGGGTGTCCCGAAAGCTCAGACCACGAAATCTAAGACCTAAGACCTCGAGATATCAGACCCACTCGAAATATCAGACCCCACAAATTAAGACCATCAACTAAGTATGCCAGGATTTCAAGACAATACCTTTATTCGAAAGCTAACGTCAATATAAAGAACCGACTAATCATAAAATAAACACCATTAAGTATCATCGATACCAGCTAGGCCCCTATTTGCGACGTTTACTGGAGAAAACTAATACAGTACAAACAAACCAGCTATTCGCACTCCACGAAACCGTACGGTACGGTTTCGGTACGTTTTCGATAGCGGTTTCTAATGCACATCTATCGTGCGAATACTGTATCCGATATTATGGTTCTCAATTGTTCTCACTCTTTATATTTTTAGGATAGTTTGTTTGTTTGTTTGTTCTTTTTACATTCACCTTATCTTTTTTACTGCTTCTTTTTTGTTTTATATGCGGTTTCAAAATATTATATAATAAAAAAGATAAAATTACTAAAAGCATAGAACATGAAACTAGGACCAGTGGCGGATCCAGCGAAGGGGGATGGGGCATGAGGGCCCATTTTCCCCCCCCCCCCCTATTCAGTCAAGCCGAAAATTTTGAGTTAAGAGAGGAAAAATTGTACCCATGAGTTCAGAGGCGATCCAGCAGTGGAATGAAAGATAGCTCGATTATTTTCCACTTTACACCAACCATGGTTGAGCTAAGGTGGGCGTGGCGGTGGGAACAGAGGACTTGGATATAGCACTTAGAGACCTTGTTTATTTGCAACTTATAAATCGACCTATTATTATTATCATTATTATCATTATTATTATTATTATTATTAATATTATTATTATCGAGAACGATCGGGAATCATAACACAGTATCAGATATTCGCACGATGCAGAGCCATATATATAAAGAGTTGCGACATTCCGCTCCTTGATTTGCGAAAGTCATGTGGTACACACCATCCATTTTGATCTTCCTAATGAACACATGCAAAGTATATGAGTTACGTACACTGCATATTAATTTCACACACGTAATTGGGTTTACAATTATATTATTTTATAATTAACATCACTTAGTATGGACAGCGTATTAGAATTCATATATGAGTTGTAAAATATCTATAGAAAATCGTTAAAGTTTCAGCGCCAGAATAGATTTAATTTTAATTACCGCAAACTTGACGCCGCATCACAAATGAAAGGGAGGTCAGTGTGTTTTTTTTTAATTACCGTACCCATGCGCACAAAACAAACTGTCGAATACCGTTAACATCTACACCTGCATCATTGGCTATTACACTGCATTCTTGTCAATTGGCATGACAGCAGTAAATGCACTGTCTGCCCTAGGGTGGCTTTTGATACAATCCCAGTCATTTTTCGGCCCCCCCCCCCCCCCCCATCCTATTCAGTCAAGCCGAAAATTTTGAGTTAAGAGAGGAAAAATTGTACCCATGAGTTCAGAGGCGATCCAGCAGTGGAATGAAAGATAGCTCGATTATTTTCCACTTTACACCAACCATGGTTGAGCTAAGGTGGGCGTGGCGGTGGGAACAGAGGACTTGGATATAGCACTTAGAGACCTTGTTTATTTGCAACTTATAAATCGACCTATTATTATTATCATCATTATCATTATTATCATTATTATTATTTTTATTATTATTATTATTATTATTATTAATATTATTATTATCGAGAACGATCGAGAATCATAACACAGTATCAGATATTCGCACGATGCAGAGCCATATATATAAAGAGTTGCGACATTCCGCTCCTTGATTTGCGAAAGTCATGTGGTACACACCATCCATTTTGATCTTCCCAATGAACACATGCAAAGTATATGAGTTACGTACACTGCATATTAATTTCACACACGTAATTGGGTTTACAATTATATTATTTTATAATTAACATCACTTAGTATGGACAGCGTATTAGAATTCATATATAATCAAATATTTGCATGCGTGTATGCTCGGGTAAATTCCGTGCTCGCGTAAATTATTGGAATAAATTGGAATTTTTTTCATTTATCGTTAATTGCTCACATTTTAATTAACGAAGACTGAAAACCCGACATATTTTAATTAATTGTAATCTTTTCTTTTGATTTAATTGTTTATAATATATATATATATATATATATATATATATATATCTATATCTCCTGGCCTAGGCCTATATGGTAATTATACATTATAGGCCAAATCAATATTTGTATATTATAGGCAAGCTATTACGTTACAACTAAAAATTAAATGAAAAAAATACTATATTATAGATAAATCTAACGGAGAGTTAAATAGGCAATTTAACCATTAGGATGCGTACCAGTACTTAAGTACAAATAGTGTGAATGTCACTCCAAAAAAGACATAGCAATTTTATAATTACTATAACTTTATTTTGGAAACAACGTTTTTAAAACAGCAGACACGCTCTTGCAGTGTGTTCATAAAAGTAACATACTGTACAGCCATAATACAATATTAACACAGAGATTTTTAATACAATTATATACGTTACACATTTACACAAGTTGAATATATCACAGATCCAGTATGTCATTTAACACTTAACAATTTATAACATTTACAGCAAAGCACAATTTATATATTGCGGCCAACTGACCTATACTATTTTAATATTTATAAATAATAATAATCAAATTAATAACATAAGATTTGAATAGGGCTCGCTCATATTCTAATTTAAAGAGCAACAATCTATATACCCTATATACGGATTTTAATTACATTTTGATATACATATTTAATTACTTTTTGCTGGTCTTGCATATCATTTATTTGCAAAAATAACAGGAGCTACTTAAGGGTCTATATGGCAGGATTGCCTCTTGAAGAATGCTTGCCATCGAAGGGCTCTCTCGGTCTATCGGCGAGGATTAAAGAACTGCTCAAAAATAGTAAATTCTTACAGTATTTATAATATGAAATTGGATATAAAGTAGTGAAATCATTAAAAAAAATCTATAAATAGAGTTACATGAAATTCGACTGCTAAAAATATTAAATGGAATTAAACTACAGGCCTCGAATTTGGGGATTTTATGGGCAAGGTCAAATGGCCTCCAGTATGACATGATTTTGAAAGGCACCAAGGCCAAATGGAAAGGCACCAAGGCCAAAATTTCAAGTATAAAAGGGCACCCAAGGCAAAATTTAGCTTCAGTACTAATTTCTCGCAAGTGCCTTGATTCATCGTAGCCAGGCTAGCCAAGCTAGGCCTAGCCAAGCCATAGTTGTCAATGGTAATATAACTTTGTTTTGTTTGCCTACAATATTTTTTTGACTCCATGTGGGTAAATATTATAATGTTTATTTCATGAAGTTTAATCTAAGTTATATTAACGCAAATGTTGTTAATAAAAAATCACCAATCGGCCATGTTTCTCTTTGGTCACGTGGATAACTTAACGCTGATTACCGCACTCTGGTTTACGTTAATTTTCGTTGTCAACAAAGTCAATTTATAACCAGTCGAATGAAAATAATACTCAACGAAAATTCGTTCCAACGAAATGAACCAGTCGAATGAGCCCATGTTTTGCAAACCGCTAGAGTTTTTGGCTTTCGTGTTTTCTTTCGAGATTTAAACGTTCTTACTTAGATTTATTTTACGTGTCAAACGATCTATATTAAGCATTGTGGGGGCACTGAGGCCAGGCTTCAAAAGGGCAGGCAAGTAGTGGCTGTCGTCGTGCTTCATTTTCAGGGGCACCAAGGCCAACTGGGAGGGCACCGTCGGCAATGGTCGCGGTGGCTGCGGTAAAATTCGAGGCCTGAAACTATACAAGAGGCCGCTAACTGTATTATACAATATTATACACAGGAACGCACATGACGATAGACACAGAACGCGCATCGCGTATGACACAAAATGGCTTCTAAATTCTCAGTGTCGCACATAGAGATATAATAAGAATACTAGAGCGCTAACTGCAATTCGATGTTCAAAATACACAGAGCTGTGTGTGTGTACCATCCAAGACGGCTGCCATAGATTCAGCCAATCAAATTTCGCCTAAGTACTATCATTTTCAATGGTGTCCTCAATTTACCCAGAAAGTTCAGTACAGCTAGTTACCCGTATGTTTGAAACTCGAGCGTTGCGGTGTATGGGTGTAATGTAGTACACGATTTTATTTTTTTTTTAATTTTTGAATAAGATGCTCTATTCGGCCTCTTTTTGGCTACGATAGTTCAATAAATTGTTATCAATACTAATTATCATTAATCAAATAATAGTCAGTCAGAGGGCTTATTTATGGTAATAATATGTATACTAAGCCTAAAGGGGGCGCTTTCCTACGGCAGCCATCTTGGATGGTACACATACATAACTCTGTATTGCTTTCTATCTTGTCAGCACTCTAGTTGTTTCTCTATGGTGTCGCAACTCTTTCTATCTATGGCTCTGACACGATGTACATTAGAAACCGCATCGAAACCGTACGATTCCGTGGAGTAGCCTGTACACTAACAACGGTTTGTTTGTACTGTATTCTCCAGTAGACGTCGCAAATAGGGGCCTAGCTGGTAACATGGAGTTATAATATTATCAAAATAATTATGACTGGTATCGATAATACTGGTGTTTATTTCATGATTAGTCAGTTCTATATATTGATGTTACCTTCGAATAAAGGTATTATTGTCTGGAAATCCTGGCATACTTAGTTGAGGGTCTTAATTTGCGGGGTCTGATATTTCGAGTGGTCTGATATCTTGTGGTCTTAGATCTTAGCTTTTGTTGTCTGAGCTTTCGGGACACCCGTACAAAGAGACGTTCGCTAGTAGGTAAACAAAACCATACTTGGGTATAGGGGTGCGCAGTCAGGCGTATTATGATTAATTTTAGAGAGTTGTCTATAATAATAATAATAATAATAATTAATAATAATTGGACGCTTTTACGGTGCATCCAATCGGCCACAGTTAAAGGGGAGGAGCAAAGGCCAAAACGGAATATCGGCGTTCAAATGATGCACTATTATTAAAACAGTGTTTTTAGATGCGTTTTGGTAGAGCAATAGAAAGCACGTCTGAACACAGATTTGTCTTCTGGAATAAATTGGCAATCTTGCCTGAATATTAATATAAAATACATTTATATGATTCTTGTTCTTAAAGTAATTACATTATTATTATTATTATTATTTGACCTATGTTGGAATTAAATAATGATGATAGTAATAGTAATATTAAAATAATGTTTTTATTTGCAATGGACAAGTATTATTCTAGAATTAAAATTTACATTTAATGTTTGTAAATATAAATGTTGCTTTTCTTTTCCTAATTCTGGTTTTTTGATGAATGTATGTATTTTATTTCAGTAAAAATTGTGTAGAAGGCTGAACATTGCAATATGCACTTCTGAAGATCTCAGCAATCCAGTGGACTCATCCTGCTCAACTCAATGGCTATAATGTTGCTTTCTTGTTTCATGCTCGTTAATTCTGCTGAATGGTGAGTGAAAATACTTGTTCTTATTATGAATTTCATGTCTGTTGTAAAATGCTTTGTGGGATAACATTTGACCTGGTTCAAAACTAAAAATAAACATTATAATTTTAATATTACAACACAAAAACCCTAATTAAATTATTTTAAAATAAATTAAAATAATATTTTTTCATGAAATAAGTTTTTAATTTAAGTTAATATAATTAACAGGGTAATACAATTTGAGAGATCAAAATAATAATATTATTTCATTTATGTCAGTAATGACAAAACAATGAACAAAACTATATAAAGTGGTTTTCTAATAAGGATTGACCTTGACGAACTATTACAGAAAGTATACATTTAGACCCATTAACAACTTTTGAGAGATATTTATGTTCGAGACATCATAAATTTAAATGACCCTCACATTTACACCCTAAACTGGATCATGCCCAACACATAATAATTTCTTCCTTCTAACTGGGTTAAACTTTCCCATATATGTTTCGTTCAAATCAGTGGATCCGTTTTTGTAATATCTGGTCTGGAACGTTTTCCTTTGGATGGTCCTCATATCCATACCCTACTGCTGATAGTTAACAAAATGTTATCATTCTTTATTTGACCATGAAAAACTATTCTGCAAAGTTTCATTTTCATCCATTTATATCTGGGATGTAAGCAATTAAATAACCCTTAAATTTACACCCTAACCTGGATCGTCAAAAAGTAATATCTTCCTTTTAACTTTCCCGAAAGTTTCATTTAAATCCGTTAGTGTGAAATATCTGGTCTGGGATGTTGTCAGTTGTACACCTGCCTATTCTTGACATCTTCTGGCTTAACACACTGGCACATTTTACTCTTATAGCTGACCAAAAAAATACCTGTCATGTATTGGTGTTGAAATGGAAATATTATGCAAATAGAAATATGAGGATTTGGTTTTTAGCATCACATGTTTAAATGTAAAGATGCATTTTAATGCGTATTTAAAAAAAAATATTAATATAAAAATATTTAATATTTAAAAAAAAATATTCCCAATCAGTTCTGAAAAAAGGTGGCGTTAGTATAAAAACGATGTATAGCTTTACTGTAATTACACTAATTTAAATATTCATTATCTATTGTTTCTGCGATGTTTAGGTCTTGGACCTCAAATTCACACCCGAATTTGGTCATCAACACTTATAATATAATAATATTATAAACAAATAATATCTTCCTTGCAACTTGGTTAAACTTTCATTCATATCAGTTGATTAGTTTTTATGATGCACCTTATCCTTGAGGTTATAAAGTGCAATTATTTCCCTGATCGTTGGATCCACATGTGTTGCTGGTAATTAGCGCAGGAGCAGGCTATCCTACCAGGTACTGATACCATTTATATTAGTAGTAAGTGGTGTCAAAGGCCAAACAAACTGAATTCAAAATTTATTCTGTACTG